TTATTGGAGATAAGAGTCTCACGGACTTTCCTGCCTGGGCTGGCTTTGAACCGCGATCCTCAGATCTCAGCCTCCTGAGTAAGCTAGGATGACAGGCGTGAGCCACTGGTGCCTGGCTTCTTTCTTTCTTTCTTTGGCACTGTCCCTTACCTTTCCTTTCTTTCTTTCTTTCTTTTGCACTGTCCCTTACCTTTCCTTTCTTTCTTTCTTTTGCACTGTCCCTTACCTTTCTTTCTTTCTAAGGCTGGCGCTCTACCACTTGTGCCACAGCTCCACTTCCAGCTCTTTGCTGGTTAGAGATAAAAGTCTCAGGGACTTTCTTCAGATCTCATCCTCCTGAGTAGCTGGGATTACAGAATGAACCACCAGCGCCCCCCTGACCCTCCCAACTTTTAAGGCCCCAGATCTCACAGGACAGAGGAAGAGAAGCCAGCAGGGAAACCTTAGGGGTCCTTTCCTCCTCTCCTCCCTCATCAGTCCCTGGTGGTCGCCCCGATCTCGGGCTCCCCCCATCCCAGAAGACAAGGGCTTGGATGGCGGACCTGGTGGTCGGAGCGAGGAAGCGTGCCCAGCACGGTGGTGAAATCGCTGGCGATGAGGCCGGCTGACACGATGCCCCAACGCAGCGCCATGGTGGGAGGGTACTTGGACGCGAAAGGCCACGCCCCCTAGGACTCCATCGACGCTTCTCATTGGCTGAAAGCAAAGGGACGAAATTAGGGTCCAGTGTCCCATTGGATAAACACGCTACTTGGTCCCGCCTGCTGTGGGCGTGGTTGTCTTGTTTGTCAACTCCATCCACCCCAGTGGGAACGACGGGACTTGGCACTGTCCGCTGAAGACAGAAGCAATAACAGCATAGTTACAAGGCCGAAGGAGTGAGGCTTATCTTAAAAAAAACAAAGCAAGTCCAAAGGTCGGAGAGTACGGCTCTACTAACGTTGGGGAAGGAGATTAATCACAGCCTTATGAGAAAGGAGGAAGAAATACCAAAAATGATTGAAATGATTATTAAGGGCTGGGAAGGTGGCTCTGTGGTAGAGTGCTTTCCTTGCATGCATGAGGCCCTGGGTTTGATTCCTCAGCACCACATAACAGAAAAAGCTAGAAGTGGTGCTGTGGCTCAAGTGGTAGAGCTCTAGCCTTGAGCTGAAAGCTGAGGGACAGCGCCCAGGCCCAGACTTCAGGCCCCACAACCGGACACCCCACCCCCCGCAACAAAAAGAAATAATTATTAAGGGCTGGGAAGGTTGCTCCGTGGTAGAGTGCTTGGAGATCCTGGGTTGGATTCCTCAACACCACATAAGCAGAAAAAGCCAGAAGTGGCACTGTAGCTCAAGTGGTAGAGTGCTCACCTTGAGCTGAAGAGCTGAGGGACAGCGCCCAGGCCAACAGTTTAGACCCCACAACCAACAACAACAAAAAATAAT